TCACTCCAACTCATTTTTTTTAGTGACAAGAGATTTAAGGGGGGAAAAATCAATTAAACATTTGCATATTTCTTTGCATAAATTAGATCTACCTCTTGACATTGTGGGGAGCAAGAGAAGGGGGAGGAAGAAGGGCCAATAAGGAAAGATTTTGTGGGTTTTTTTCATACTTACTAATTTGTGGGGTTTTTAAAAATGAAAACAGAATTACTTGATATTGAAATAATGTGCCCTAAAGAACTCTGCTCTGTAAAACTGACCTTTCTTCTCCCATTTCCCAAAAACATTTTTCTCACCATATCCATGCATACGTAGTACATGCACACATATCTTCCCATCTAGTCAGTGAACAATCTTTTGATCTCCAAAAATGAGTCCAACTCACTGATCAGAGATATAAAATGTTTTGTTCATGTAGGAAAAAAAGTAATTTCTGGTGCATGGAAAAGTGTGTAAGTTGAATTATATTCTTGGCTCTTTTGGAGGTGTCTGCAAATAACAGCTTTGAGATGCATTTTTTAAAAAAAACCTGTGTCTGTGTGACTGTGTATCTGTGTGTGCATGTGTATGACCACTTTGTTTGGCTAGGGAATGGCCTTGGTTATACTTAACATTAAAGAGTATATGGCTCGCAAGATAAAGCTTTGTGTGATGGGGATTATTCATTTAATATTTATTGGGATCGCTAAACAGGGAAATAACAAACCCTCTGTGGCTCGATACTGCATTTGGGGTGGAGGGTATGCTTATATTTATTTATTTATTTATTTGCCCGGGGAGGGTGGATCCAAGATGCACAGATTGTAAATAGCTAGAGGTGTGGGTTACCAAGCGGTCAGTATGGTAATAGCTTGCACAATGAATCCGCAGGGACAATGGGCACTTATTTTTCTTCCGTACTGTCAAAGGGACGCTTTGTATTCAGAAATAGTCCTGGAAATGGGAAGCAAAAAGATACACGTTTTTCCAACCCGATTCCCTGCTTTGGGTAGATATTAAGAATCAGGAATTATTTCCCTGAGAAGTTCTATTTCTTTTCGCAATTGCTGATCAAGAGTAATTATTACAGAAATAATGTTTGTCACCCACATTTTTTTTTGCCGGTTAGGAGAAAGTGAGGCTAAGGAGAGAAGGATGCTAAATAGAAACAAAAGAGGTTTGTGCTCCACTATGGTTTTGTTTTGTTTTTCCCCACAGGGTTTAGGAGCCTTGTTTGATGGGGACAATAAGAGGAAAAGTTCTCAAACCCTGAAGGAATCAAGCTAAGCAAACACACTGAAGTTCTTTTGGGGTGGGGAGAAGGGATAATAACTCAGGAGAGACAAATCATTTCTGAAAAAGAATGTACCTAAGCTAAAATATGAAGAGGAAAGGGAATAAATGGACACAAAGAAAGAATCCAAGCCATCATAATTGGATTGCAAAATAAATATACATCTGAAAATAATAATAATAATCAAATGGTTGGCTCAGCTAGGGAGTAAATTCACTCACTCACTAGGGAGTAAATTCAGATTGGCTTTGGACTTCCAAACATTCCTACAAGCATTGGGTGATATCCTGCTACTGAATTTTCTACATAGTTAAAAAGTTCATCTAAGTTCCAAAATTGCTTGCATGATCTTGCAGTGCCTGCCAAACAGGTTCATTCAGGAGTTCTTCCTTATCCCAGAACAGCCCTGAGGTTCTTGAGCTTTAGTACTGAGAGGTGCTTAAAACTCAAACTTCTTCTATCCCTTTCCCTGTCATCAGGTTGGATTCTGCTAACATTTATAAAAAGGAGACAAGGCAAGAAATTTCCTGAATGCAGTGGGGTAAAATGCACTAGGAAGGTAAATGGGATAAGAGCCCTGAGATATGTAAAGTTCAGAAGAAAGAGCTGTAAATGCTGCTTCCTGCAGCTGGTGGTAGTACCAGAGCTAGAAGTAACAATACCATTACTACCAGCAGCAAGAGTACTAAGGTATTCTTTCTCAGAAAAAAAGAGATAGCAAAGACATTAAAAAACCCCTCTGGCATTAATAATAATTGCAAAATCAGATTTTTTTTGTCATTTCCCCTCCAGTTGACATGTATTTAGTTTGTCTTCTATGCCATGATTTTAAGGCAAAACAGCCCACCCCACTTCCCAGTTTCTTCCTTTTTTTTCCTGTCACACATAGCAACAGATACATTAGACCGAATTGTTCCTATCCGAGCATGTATCAGAATTCCTTTCCTATGGACGGTTATCTGAATCAATGGGATTTGGTGCACTGCTGAGTTAATCTCACAATATTTCTCTTTTGCCTTTTACATCATGTTGGACTACATCACTCATACTCTGCTGCCAGCCATCAACTGATTTGGAGGACTCCAGGCTGAGGAAGGCATGTTTATCATAAGGTGATACAAGACTAATACATTTTCAAGAATAAAATAGAATAGCATTTCAATTCAATTCAGTTTATTACAGTCATAGACCAGAATAGAACAGAATGATATATACTGTATACAATAATAACTTTCTTCCTCGGGAATATAAGAGCAGCCTCAGCCTCCTTTTCTTCTTCCAAAGTTAATCAGTAAATAACCATTCAAATGAAGGATTAGATACCCATAGATGTGTAGAATACCATCCCAGACTACACTTTCCCCTTTAATACTGCACATGAGAAGCATTCAGTAAAGGAACAGGGCTGGGTGAGCTGTACTAAGTACTTATTGGATGTATTCTTTTTTAATGTCCAAATGCAATAAATATAAGCTCTAGTTCAATTAGAAATCACTTTCTTAGGCCTGATTACCAAAGTGAATAGATTCCATCTTGCTAAAATCTACCAAAACTGTGCATAGCTAGAAACAGTTTAATTTATGAAAAAGCATTTTTTGGAACTCTATACAGCTGCTCTTTGGAAAGAAAGAAAGAAAGAAAGAAAGAAAGAAAGAAAGAAAGAAAGAGAAAGAAAGAGAAAGGAACTTTATTGGGAAAGAGGAGGAATATATTTCTCAGGTTTTTCTAGCCCCATAAAGGACAAACTCATCAGTCGTTCATATATACCCTGTAGAATCGAATTTGTGTGAGCACCTCTATTGCAAATTCGTCTCTAGGGGGATATATGGATGATGCAAAAAGCTTGCTAATGTTCTGTTTTCTTTGATTTCCTCTTACTTGCTGATGTAATTAAAAATTTCAAATGTTTGGGGGGTGGGTGATGCATGTGTATTTTGTGTGTGTGTAACTTTGATAGATCTAACAGAATCTCATAACCAGGTGATGACTAAATAGTTAAAATAAAAAGAAAGGTAAATAATTCTACTGATAAGAAAAGCCACAATTATAACTTTTTCTTTGGAAAGAATAAACAGTCAGCATTGCAAACACAGGCTTGCACAAGCCCTTGTTAGAGAGAGAACATGCATGAGAGGGAAAGGAAGAGAGAGAGAGAGAGAGAGAACGCTAGCTAACTATTTCAAGTGACTGATTTATGGCGTTTTACAACCCCATAAAAACTGCTACAACCAGCCCAGAGCCTCCGACACCGCTGGCACATTTAGTCTAATAAATAAAACATAAACAGTTAACTTTATGTGTCACTTTTATTGTTATCAAGTAAAATATTGCAATGCCCTGCAAGCTATGATTTTCAACTATAATTGTTATCAAGCAATACAAGGGATTAATCCAACTCTCGGTGCCCCCTTCTCCTTCATGTAGGCTATAGATAAAGCCCTTAACTGCAATAAATGAACACTTTAAAATGTTTGCTTCAGATCAGCTTCTTTAGCCTACCCAGGGGTCTGTTTATATTGGCATCTGGGCATATATTCTGTCCACTCCTATTTCCATCAGGAAACCAGATGTTCTGAATTAAGGCCCTATACTTTTCTATTAGTTGGGGGGTCAGGGTCCTTGTGTCATGCCTACCTCTTGTATGGGGATGGGGCATAATTATCACCCTTCTGTCTTACATTCAGTCCAGATGGGTGTAAGATGTGCACATGTTTTCCCCCAAAATTATAAAACACCACCACCACCACAATCTTTGACTGAAAGAAATCCGGATCCGAAGTGAAGAGAGCCTTCATTTGTGTGTTTCCCCTTACTGTCACCTTCTCATCCCCCCCCTTCCCACCCTGGGAAGGGTAATGGACCTGCCCATTGGCTGCCTAGAACTTCCTCCGCATTTAGTTTCCAGCTCTTCTTGCAACTCCTCAGATCGCCCTTAAGCAAAGGTTAATGAGCATTCCTAGAACACTCCAAATGACGCAAAGGTGATTTGCATATGCCCCTGCTCCTCTCCCAACCCCCCCCCTTCAGCCCTATCAGGTAAGCTGACTTCTTTTGTCTTTTCCTTCCTCTTGCCCACAAATCATTGGCATGCAAATCTTGAACTTCTTCCTACTTTTCAGTCCGAGCGTCTTGAAGGGAGCTTGTGGTCTATGGAGAGAGGCGGAGAGGGCGCTTCTGCAGACAATTATACTAGCTGAGTTCTGGGGAAGAGAGGAGGGAGGCGGAGGCAACACCCTCCCGATTTTCTTTAAGGTGAAACAAGCAAAGCAATTTTGAGCGCGCTTCCTCTCTCTCTCTCTGCACTGCAAAGGGGGACCTTGGGTGTTTCTCCTAAGCGACATTCACTCCATTCTTGGTTGTGCACAAGAAAGGGCTTGCTTGGGTACCTGAAAGGCAGTGAGTGGGTTAGGGTGGCGGGGGCGGGGGCGGGGAAAACCTAATGGAAAGAAGCTTTTCCTACATTCCCATCTCTCTGCCAAAAAAAATGATAGACTTTATTTCTACCATCTCCCTGATTTGACGTGGTCCTTTAAGAAAAGAAGGAAAGGCAAAGGAGAGAAGAGCCATTTCTGGTTGCCTGCATTATTTACCCTCCCACCCCCAATTTCCTTCTGCTCGGAATTGGGCGGGTGGGGGGGGGAGAGAAAGCGAGCGAGCGAGAGAGAGAGAGAGAGAGACCACCGACCAAACAAGATCACACGCACACGCTCGTGTAGACACACACACACTCGCGCGCGCACACAAATTGGATACACTTTGAATAAGCTTTTGGTTCCTTATCCGGGGACTAGCGCGGCTGGCGTGATTGGCGCAACGAGTCACATGGTGAAAGTAACTTTACGGGGTCGCCAGCTAGTAGGAGGGTTTTATGGAGCAGAAAAACGACAAAGCGAGAAAAATTATTTTCCACTCCAGAAATTAATGATCATGAGCTCGTATTTGATGGACTCTAACTACATCGATCCGAAATTTCCTCCATGCGAAGAATATTCGCAAAATAATTACATCCCAGACCACAGTCCGGAATATTACAGTCGGACTAGGGAGTCCAGTTTCCAGCATCATCACCAGGAATTGTACCCTCCACCTCCACCACCACCACCACCACCTCCTCCTCCTCCTCCACAGCGACCCAGCTACCCCGAGCGCCAGTACAGCTGTGCCAGCCTCCAAGGTCCCGGCAACCCCTCCGCGCATCCACGGGGCCATGGACAGACGCCCGGAGGCCACCATCTCCCCGAGAAAGCGCAGCAGCTCTGTGACCAAACGGCTCTCTCCAGCGCGGCTACCTCTCCTTCCCCGGCCCCTCCAGCTTGCAACCAGCAAAACCCCGAGCATCCCAGCAGCACGGCCTCTAAGCAACCCATAGTCTACCCATGGATGAAAAAAATCCACGTCAGTACTGGTAGGCAACTTTTCCTCCTCTGCTCCTTTTCTCTCAGATGCGTGTGTAGATGTGTGTGTGTGTGTGTGTGTGTTTGTGCCCCCCCTTCCTACCAAGCTCTCAGGCTCCCTCTCCCTTTCCCTCCCCCTCTCCCCTTTTCCCCCTGTCTCCTCCTTTGCTTTCGACGAGAGTCTTTGGGTTAGCACAATTGAGCTGGATTTACGACTCCGAGCGGGTAATTACACCCACCATAAATTTTATAGCCGAGCTAGTCTGGGCAGCCCCAGCCATGTGGTTCGTTCTGTTATGTATGTGTGAAACTCCAAAGGCTTGGAGAGGGGTGCATAAATAATTCAGGCTCTTCCCAAGCCAAGGAAACCCCTTCTTCTTATGAGCAAAAAGTCTTGGGTTCTTTATAACCCAGTAGGCGGATGGCTCCCCCCCCCTTTCCTTTTTTCTCCTTCTTTCGATCTCGCTCTCCCTCTCCCTCTTTCGGCGCCCTGAGCCACCGGCGATCTCGCCGGCTCTTTTCTCTCCCTCCCCCCCTCCCCAATTCCCCCGCTTCCTTGCATCCATGCGAATCTTTGGTTTGGTTTGGCTTGTTTGTTTGTTTTCTCCAGTGAACCCTAATTACAATGGAGGCGAGCCTAAGCGGTCCCGGACTGCCTACACCCGTCAGCAGGTCTTGGAATTAGAAAAAGAGTTCCACTATAACAGATACCTGACGAGGCGGAGGCGCATCGAGATTGCCCATTCCTTATGTCTCTCGGAGAGACAGATCAAGATCTGGTTTCAGAACCGGCGGATGAAATGGAAAAAAGACCACCGGCTGCCCAATACCAAAGTGAGATCCACGGCTCCGGCCAATTCCTCGGCCGGCTCCCTGCCCGCTTCTTCTTCCAACGCGGTTGCTGGCGAAGATCATTCGCAGAGCTCAGCTCAGGAGCCACGAGCAGAGGATATTACGAGGTTATAAACAAACCAACCAACCAACAACAACAACAACAAACGCCCCATGCAAATTGACTCTGATTATTTATAGAATCTAATATATATCTATATATTTTGGGGTTTTTTTTTCCTCGTAGTTTTCCCGTGCGGTGTATATATATATTTAGGAGAGAGAGAGAGAGAGAAAGAGAGAGAGAGAGAAACACACATACATACACATACACAAAAGAATGAGGTCTGTTGGGGATCTCAAGCTTTAGGTGCATGTATTATTAGCATGAGAGGCCAGGTGGCATACCTGTTGGGGGGGTTTTTTAATCACCATTTTCAGGGTTTTATTTATTTTTTAAAAAAGGAAAGAGAATGGAAGGAAGGGCTGTGTAAGCGGATGTGTCTGCATGGAGATGTATGTATGTATGTATGTATATAAGCGTGCGTGTTGGGTTGGGGAACTAAATGTTCTGTTTTAGATGAAAAATCGGGGCATATGCTAATAATTATACAGGCAAGGAAAGAATGTAATTATTTTGCTCTCTGAGTTTACACATGGAGAACAAAAAAAAAAGAGGACCATTGAAGGTTTCCCTCCCCCTCCTTTTCTTTCTTCTTGTATAAATGTGGAGAAAGATTTTTTTTTTTTTTTACAAAAAGGGGGGATGGCACACACGAGCTAGTAGAAACTAATAAATGTCTGGTTAGTTCAATGTGAGCAGCAAGAGATAAGGAGAGCAAGCTAGACAGCGAATTGAAGGGGAAAAAATCAGTGGGTAGATTATTATTATTATTTTTTGGCTTTTTGTCGTGGTTCTTGTGTTTTTGGACTAATTTTACATGATCATTGTAAACCTGCAATAAATGAGTTTAAGTGTATATGTGAAAGTCCCCTTGTTCAATAAAACAAAACAAAACCAGTGAGTGTGACACAGACTGAGTCTGGAATGTTTGGTGAGTTATTTTGCTTTTTTGCCTGCTATTAAAAATAAAATGCTGGGAGAATAGGCAGGGACAGAATTACCTGAGTAAAAAGACCTTTTCTCAGCTAAGTTTGAAGAACTTTCCCTGGTTAGGTGTGGAGTGTTTTTTTTTTAAAGTCATCTAGTGCCATGTAAGCTAAATTGTCAGCCTGCCATTGATTTTAGGAATTGTGACTTGCACCCCTTCTACTCTGTGACATCACAAGATGGGCACTGTCTTTGAACTCACACTTTACCAGGCAATCTTTGCCCTGGAGGTATACACGTGTGTTTGATTAGAAATAGATTCAGCTGATTCTGGATGAGTTTGTGCATTACTTTTTTATCTTTAAAAAAAGTGTCTTTTAAAATTTTATAGGTACATGAGTCTCTTTCCCTTTGTTTAATCATGTTATCAAGTTAATTGCTTTCTTTTGCTGTCTATAAACAACTTTAGCTCCCTTGTTATTGTACTTTAACTACGTTTCTAGCATATATTGGAGATACTAGAGAGAAAGAGTAGTACTGTAGAGAATCTGGAGATGTTTACTTTTTGAGGGGAAGCAGAAAGGGTGACTGGGAAAAAATGTAGCACAGATGTGTTTGCACAAGGAATAGTTCTACTGTGATTGTAGATAGATAAGATAGATACTTTAGCAAGTGCCTTTTTTAAATGTGCTGATTGTCCTATTAATCAGCAGGCCCTGAAAAATGGAAAATAAGTAGGTGATCAAATTATGTTTTTCATGTCTTCTTTTAGATGGTAGTGCCAGGATCTTTATTTGCATTGGTAAATCTTTTAATAACCTGAAAGCAGAAATTAGTTAGGTTACAAGAGCAGAATAATAAATGTATTTGTATATATTATCCTTAAATTATGTGCAAAATTGTGGACTATCTATAGCAATGATAGTGAATCACACAGTGTGTATGTGTGTGTATGTGTATGTATGTATATATATATACACACACACATACTGTGTGTGTATGTATATGTATGTGTATACATATACACACATATACATATACACACACATACACATACATACTGTATATACATACATTTCAGATGACACAAGAGTTTGAAAGATTAGGGAAAATGATTTCTGAAGGGCATGTTACTATAACCTTCTGATGGTAATCAGTTTTGCATCCAAGGCCTATGGAACACTTAGGAAATGACTGACAGAGATATTCAGATTATTCAGCCATTCCATTCAGGTTAATGCAGAACTTCTGTGGTTTTTAAATGGGGCATAATTAAACCTAGTAGTAATCATCCAGATTCATTTACAAACCACTTCACAAAGAAACGTGAGGTCCAGTTGAAGAGGATGACAATTCAAGCCTGTTACTTGTTCAATCCATCTGATGTATGTTGAAGAGATGACTGATAGAGCAGCCAGGCGAAAACCTATAGCATCATTTTTAAGATTCCCAGTAAAGAATACAGACGTATGTGTTGAGTGTATGGGAATTATAAATTAAAATGTTTCCTTATCACACTATCAGGCCTGTTTGTCCACCTTATTTTATAGATCAAGAGGGGAACATAGATAAGCATTCAGACTGCAGTCCTGTGCAGACTAACTTTTGAGGAAATGCCATTGAACACACCGAGATTTACTGTGCATAAGACCTCAGCTACATATTTAATCCATCAAGTGTGTATGTTTATCAACTTCCCAGTTAAAAAAAATCATTTATTCAAATATACTATTTTTGTTCTTATTACTGTAAGAAGACAAGCACACTCAGTTTTATAAACATAAATACACACTTTTCATACATCGGCCCTCTGCGAAATAAGGGAAAAAATAAAGGGATTAAAAAAATACCCAAAGTTCTAGTTTTTCATTGTAAAAATGAAAGGTCATTGTTTTGCAACCCCCCCCCCCCACAAAAAACCCCATCTGACACTCTCATACAAACCCGCATTGATATTCCATACTTAAATTAATAAGTCTTCTGAATATAATATGGATGTGCCTGTATTGCACTAGATGGTTTGTTTTAACATCCTTCTTTCACACACACACATATACACAACACACTTTTGACACCTTGTGACCAAGATCAGTTTCTGAATGTGGAGAGATTTTGTATTGGGGGCGTTCTCTGTGTCTGCCTAGGAAGCCAGGGAGGGGGTGGGGAACAAGGGGGATCATCGATCACATTTGCAACCCTATAGTCTGCATATCCATTTTTTTAAAAAAACCTTTCAGTAAACCTCTCATTTAAATACGTGGCTGCATAATATTTATAGTGCTCTATCCCTTCCCCTAGCCTCTCCTGGATTATTTATTTATTTTCCTCCTGAAGTTTGCTTTCACTCTTTCATCTTCTGTAATCTGCCCTTCTGCAATCAGATTCTTTTGGGTTTTTAAAAATATTTATGGTTAATAATTTCATTTAGCCTTGAGACTTGGCCATGACATAATTTCTCCCCGTAGGGAACATAGATTATGATTATAAAGGCAAGCGAGAAGAGGTGTGGAGTTGGGGGGGCGGGAGAAAAAAAGAGAATGTTAAGAGATCCAAACCTCCATCCCACCATCTTTCCCACCTCCCTCTTCCCTCTTTCTCTCTTCTTTCTCAGCTTCCATGTCGAGAGCCTGAAAGGTACTTCATTGAAGTTCGAGGGGGGGAAAGGGGGGAAAAAGTGGGTTCATTCAGAGGACAACTTTTCTAGGCCAGCAGTTTTATTCTTAACGGCTCAGGCTGACCTCTGAGCCCCCCGGTGACCCGAGTGAAGTCTCAACGTGTACCTCTCAACGCGCCTTAGACAAACTTAAAGGCATCGCCCCTGTTTCGATTCTTTGTAAAGAAATTTTCCATCGCAATAGAGCCGGGTGGGTAGGGAGGCGCGCGGGGAGGGGAGGGGAGAGTTGGGCTTCGGACAGATTCAATGCGCTTTATCGGGCCGGTGCTGTCACCAAAATAACTCCAGAGAAAAGCAGGCAGGGTGAAGTCTCGGCCAAGCCTTGCCTACTTTGTTTCCCCTCCTTCCCGTAACTTGAAAGGTTTCCTAGAGCGGGCTAGTCCAGGCGAGAACAAAGTTTGCAACGTCAAGTAAGTCGCTTGCCTATTTTTTTATTTTGGGGGGAGGGGGAGACTTCACCATACAAGCAGCTTCAGCATTCATATGTAGGTTTTACTCAGAAAAGAAAAAGAATAAATATATATAGCTTAACGCCAAGAGGCAAAGCGGGGAAAATCGGCTACGTTGGTTAAGGTGCGCCAAGACGCTTTGGGGTTTCTGCTGCGCGCAAGAGGCAGTTCCTCCTTTGGACGAAGGCAACCAGAGCAGGGAAGCCGGTAATCGAAGCCGGGCAGGAGAGAGACCTTCCTGAACAATCCGGATTGGAAGCTTCTGTCCATTGGCTGCCAATGAGGGAACCCTTGCAGGCCAGCGGTTCGCTTGATGGCTGTACTTTTGGGCCTCCAGCTCCGTTGTGTTGGCGAGGTTTTCTTCCTACTGTGGCAGGGTCTGCACCCGAAGCATCTGTTTTCTTACCTGAGCAGGCGTGACCACAGCACCCAAGACTCTCCTTCCTGTCTCCTGGTAGGTAGCTCAGGTTGTTCAATCCTCCCCCCACACCCTATTTCCTTTATTTCCTCCCCCCAGGGATGGGGCGGAGGTGGAGTTAAAAAAAGCAGGAGCTCTGTAGAAATATTTCTGGAGTGTTTTAGGAACTTCACGAACTCAGTGACTTGTTCCACAGCCTTCAAGTGCCCAGGCAAAACTTTTTCCAAGACATTTTCCTTCATTTCCTTGATAAGGACGGACACAAGAGGCTTGAGGGGGAAAGACAGATGGGACACACCTCCAGCCTGGGAAAGTAGGCCATGGGAGACCCTTCTTTTTTCCTTGGAAGTGATGGAGAGGGTTTAAAGAAACTTCCTGCCCAGAAAGAGCCGGTCAGGGATTCCTTAGGATCTCCACAAATTCCACCCCTTTCTGATGCTGTTTAGGAAAAGAACTCTTCCAAAAGAGAGGCTGAGAAACCGAGGAGAATTTGTCTGTTTGGACAGGACTTGGGTTTTTAAGAGAGAGAAAAAAGTAAGACAATACCTCACCCCACCCCACCCTTTTTTAAAAAAAAACCATCCCTAGTATACTAATAGTTTAGCTTCTTAAGTAAAGAATGTCCCAGAAGTTTGATAACTCCCCTCTACAGCCCCTGCTCTAGACTCTTTG